TTATTGTTAAAATTATATCTAAATTATTGCAATATTAACATATATATGTAAATGAAATTCAATATTTAAATATATCTAACAAAAATATGAAACAATTAATTTATATTTTTTTATTGTATCAGATAATTCTATATAATTACAAATAGTTTATCAATTATCAAACTTAATTATCAAATATATTTTATCAATTTGAATATAAAAAAATTTCTATATATATTTTTTAAATAAAAATACTTCTGTAAATTATGTTTTTTAAATTATAAATAAGATGATTTTTTAATTAATAATGATATAAAAAATATTTTAATTTTTTTTTAATATTATTTTTAAAATACTTAAAATCATAAAAAATATATTTTTTTTATTTTTAATTTTTTTAATCAGAAATTTTTTAAATTATTTTGTTCATATTTTAATTATATCAAATTTAAGGAAAGAAATTACTTCAAAATGTTGAAATTTTTTAATTCTATTATAACTTAATCACATAAAAAATGTACAATGAATGTGAATGTACAATGTATTATCTTATTATATATCTTTAATTAAACAACTCTTCTGACTTCAAAAAACCGTTTTAAATAGAAAATTTGTCCTATTGTCATACAAACCAAAACCATAGCTTCAAAAAATGCCCACATAACTACACGAGAATTTGTGCTTTCACTAATAGCTCTATGATTTCGATCTCTAACCTAAAAATTAATAAATAATGTTAATTTAATTTATATTATATATCTATATATATCTATATTATATATCTATATTATAATTTATATAAAAAAACATAATAAATTACCTGCATATATTCTTGCTCATTTTTCACACCCCATAAACTTGTACTTAATTCTTTAATCATATCATCTATTTTGCTATGGTTTGAATCAGCACTTTTTCCATCAGAAGTTTGTTCAATAGGTTTTTTACTTTCACCAATGTCCATATTAAACATTACAACTTTTGGTGTCATACTACTTTTTTGATTACCAAAACAATAAGTATAAACACCAGGAACATGTGTAGCAAATGTATATTTACCACTACTTTCTTGATCACCTTGATAAATTATTTTTCCATCAGGACCAATTATTTTTACATCTATGTCTAGAAATCCTCCTTCAGCTATTTCAAATGTAAGACCTAAAAATATAAAAATAAAATATAAAACTTTAATTATCTGTTAACCAATTAGTATTTTTATTTTTATACAAATAAAATTAATAATTTATATATATATATATAATTCTAACAAAATTCTTTTATATATATATACTTTTTGTTAATTCAAAATTCTTTTATTTAATGTAGGTATTTTAAACATTGAATAATTATTTCAACATTTACATTACATTTATATATATGTAATGTAAATGTTGAAATGTAAAAACGATTTTATGTCAAAATTTTATTTCAGAAAATTCTAATTTAATGTTTTAATGTATACAATTATATACAGAAGTACAAAAGAACTAACCCATTTTCATGCCTGCTTCCACAGTTTCAAAGAAACATTCTTCGGCATGTGCATCCACAGTAATGAAATAACAATTTGCACTACAGCTCAAAAATATTAGAAATAAACAAGAAATGAGCCACCTCATTTTATTAAATTATAATATGAATCAATTAAAAACGACATACGCTCTTTCTTTTTCCTGCCACTTCACAGTGGCATGTTGCTACCACAGCGCCACGTATGCATTCTGCCATAAAATTAATAATATAGTTAGATATAAATCCTACTTATTATAATAAACATTTTATTATTAAAATAAAAAATTAAATATTTTCTAGGTAAAAAATTATAATATCTTTAAATATTAGTTAAAAATTATTTTATTTATGTTATAAAAATATAAATATATATCTATATAACTAACAATGATATATATAATGTATATGTGACATAATTTGAATCTTCTTTATTTTTATATACGTGTATATAAAATATTATATGACATTATTATATAGAATTTTTGAAAGTCAATCAAATTGGTGATTTAAACATTTTTTTAAAATTATATTCAAAAATAAGTTTAACTATTTTATGAAGAAATTATGCAATTGATTTAAAATTTTATGTGGATATTTTACGTATATAACTTACATCGAAATTATAAAAATAAGTAAGTATATATTTATATTGTTTTTTAAATAAGATATTAAAATTAAATAATTTTTCAAAAAATCGATGTTTTTTTTAATTTAAGTACATTTATTTGATTTTGATATATTTTTAAAATAAAATTGATATAAATAAAATTAATATAATTATAAATAAATATAAATAAATATAATTAAATTAATAATAATAATATAATATAATAATTAATAATAATAAAAAAAATTAAAAAATTATTATTAATTTATGATATTGATCTATTATTATATTGAGACAAATATCAAATCGGATCCTATTCAAAATTCTTATAAATTCACGTAAGAAAAAATATAAAGTTAAAGAAATTTAAAAATTGATGTCCTTAAATAGTTTTTTAAAGTAATTTTAAAATTGTAATTCTAAATTATTATATAAAATATATTTGTTCAAATTTATTTCAAATTTATTTTTATTATAAATATATATTTTGTATATCATACTCATATTATCGAACTTTATTATATAATTATATGTATATATCCTAATCTCACTACGAAAATGATTTATATAATCAAATAAAAATTAATATTTTTAAATTAAAAGAGAAATTAAATGTTTTATATAAAATTTGTCTCTCATTTCATAATTATATTTATTTTATATAATTTAATATGATGTATAAAATATTATATATTTTAAAACATATGACTATTACAGATTTTATTTATACTTATTTTACTTATTATACTTATTACGATTTTATTTATACTTATTTAATAAACTTATATACTTATTTAATAAAAATTTTCCGCGTAGCTATTATAGATTACAATATCATTTTTGATAAGTTATAATTTGAATTAGATAGCAAAGTTAAAATCTCTAACTAAAAGCAATTAAAGCTAATAACCAACATTAATTTTAGTATTAAAAAGATATTTATCCAAGTATTATTCATTATTACTGTATCAGGATACATAATAAATAAAAATATATAAAAATAAAAATATATAATGTTTAAAATGCTTTTGTATAAATAACAAATATATATGTCATAATATAAAGATATTTTTGCATAACATTATTCTATTTATTTATATATTATTTTATTCTCATCATTTGATTTAAATTCTAGTAAGACTTATTATTTTACAGTGTATTATTACTATGTAGATCATTCATGGTTCATGATTTTATGTTATTAAAAAGTAACATAAAAATCACATTTTTTAAAATTAATAAAAATGTTATGAAAATTTTAAATATATAAATGAGAATTATTATTAAAAAAAAATATTAAAAAATACTGTTAAAAAATAAAAAATAAGAAATATGAGTGGTATGTGTCGATATTTAATAATATCACGAAATATCCATTATCGAAGACAAGACTTCGTTATTACTTCGTCTTTTATATCATATTTATCTTCCAAACAAATACGTAATAATTCAAATGTGTATGTATTAAATGTCTATAAATATATATTCATTATATGAAAATATATATATTATATAATATTGTTTTCATTATTGCTATTTTTCAAGTGTGGTACCAGTAAAACTTGCATATGTTTCTTATGAATCAATGGATGGAAATAAAAATGCTCTTAAATATCCTATAATAATAATGCATGGTCTTTTTGGTTCAAAGACTAATTGGAATACATTATCAAAAACAATTCATCAAAAAACAGATCGTAAGGTAGATACCTAGATTTTATGTAATATAAAGAATACTTGAAATAAATTTATAGGTGATAACTATAGATGCAAGAAACCATGGAGATTCTCCACATTCTACAAATATGACATATAGTCATATGGCACAGGATGTAGTTCAACTCATGAATGATTTAGGATTTGAAAAATCTATATTATTAGGACATAGCATGGGTGGTTCAGCAATGATGTATGTAGCTTTAAATAATCCAGAAAGAGTAGAGAAGTTAATAGTAGTTGATATGTCTCCAGTGAGGACCAGTCCTCATCTTAAAGACATGAATAAAATATTCAAAGCAATGAATTCAATAAATTTAGATGGAAACAAAACATTGACAAAAGCACGTAATATGGTAAAACATCAACTTGCAAATGTTATTAAACAATTAGCTATATGTGAGGTAATTAAATATTGGTCATATTTTATATAAAATTCATTTAATATTTATAATTATATTTTTTTTTTACTATAGTTTTTAGCAATGAACTTAGTAGAAGCAGATATTGGAAAATATAAATGGCGAGTTAATTTACCCATAATAGAAAAAAATTTTCCACAAATTGCTACTTTCCCAGATGTAGGATCAAAATTTTACAATGGACTTACATTGTTCATAGGTGGTTCTAATAGTGATTATATAAAAGTAGAAGATCATGATAAAATAAAACAATTATTTCCTTCTGCTCGTTTTACTTATATAAATGGTGCAAATCATTGGGTACATGCAGATAAACCAGGAGAATTTTTAAAACTAACAATTAATTTTATTAATGAATCATAATTTATTATCATTTTATATATAAAAAAGTACACAGTATGTTTTGTAAATATATACATTTATTTGTGAATCTTATGACATTATATATAAAACAAGAAAAAATAGTGAAATAAAATATAATTTTATGTAGTATAAATAAATTATAAATTTTGTGCTTGTCAAACACTTAACATTTTTTTAACTTCTTATTTGTTATTTATATATTATTTCATAAAAATACATACTTAATGTTATTATTTCAAATTTAATACTGTTAAAAATAGTTTTATATGAGTCATATTTAAAAAAAAAAATTATTTTGATATTAAAATAAAATAAAATAAAATATATATATTTAATCAATTATAAATTATAAATTTAATACAGAAGTACTCAATTAGATAAATTCAACAATTAAAAAAACTTTTGAACTTTGATCACATTATGTAAATTCAATATTTAAATATTAGTATGAAAATTTAAGAAAATTACAATTATGTGTAAAAAAAAAAATAGAATTATAATTTTAAATTAGCTAAATATTTGCCACTATTATCACAATTCTTTTGCAAAGTGCAAATACTAACTTTACCTACTAAAGTACATCGTGTGTATGTCCACCATTATATGCATAATCTGCTTTATTATGCATTACCAATTGATTGTCCACAAAATAAAATGAATCTGAACGTGTTTCAAATGGATTTGCAATCATTTCAGAAACTGTAATTATCATTTTTAATATGTATATACTAGAATTTAACAAAATCATATTCAATAATTTTTTCACTGCTTACCCAAATCAGCAGGTAAAGTAGGAAATTCATAAATGTGTTCACAAGTATTCTTACTGTTTGGTATACAAAATCCAAATTGAAAGTCGAAAGTTTTTAATAATCTATCTCGAAAGAAATGACGTTCAATCATTCGAAAATTATTTACTGGCTTAGAACCCACCAGAAATTCAATTGTAGCTCCTACAGTCTTTAGTTTAAGAAATTGAGGTGTAAATTGATACCGTACAAAACGACCAGTATTAGCATCTTCACAACCAGATTCTTCAATTTCTGATTCTACATCTTGGTTTAAATCACATTCTAAAACATAAACAATAAAATTTAATTTTGTGAAATATAAATTTTTATATAAATCTTTATAACTATCACTAACATAACAATTTTTTAAATTGCTAACCAGTAATTGGTGGTTTTGTTATTTCAAATAATATTGCTCCCGTTTCTAAATCTCTAATTTGAAATCTTGTAAAATCTATGTCATAAACGTTTGCCTCAGGAGAACATAAATATTCTAAAATTAATATCAATATATAATATTTGTTTAATCTTTTCTTATATAAATTAAAAAAATATTATTTTACTATCAGTAATCGTAGGTAATCGTAGCACCATTTCTGGGGTTATATTTTCTGCAATATTTCCATTATTTGTATTTTCCTGTTCTGCTGATGGTGAAAATGAAACAATAGCTTCATTTGATTTATTTTCGCTATCAACACTCATAATTTAAACGTAATTAAACAATATAAAGACAAATAATTTATAATTAAACACCACGTATAATAATTATGAAATGTCACAAATGACATTCATTAAATATTTGTATATGAAATTTCAAATACATTAAAAATATTTTATTTAATATTTTTAATTGTAAAAATATTTATACATTCAATGTTATTTTCATTGTAAAAATGTTGTAACATTCTTTATACAATTATTTTTATTTTACATGGAGTATCAACAATAAGTATCCTGAAATTATATATAATTGTAAAACTTTTGTGTAGTTTTGTGTAGTTTTGAAAGTGAAAAAAAAAAATAACTATTATTTTTTCTATTATAAAAATTTTATTATTAATATTGTAATGTATGGATTTTCTGAAATTTTTAAACTTTTATTGGATTACGTTGTCAAAAAATTCAGTTAATTAGTTTCAATTTTAAATAACAAATTTTCTAATTTATAATTCAATTTTATTATATTTTATTATACTATATTTATTATATTTATAATACTAACAATGTATATTTTATTTATTAAATAACTTATATAGCTTTTTAAAAATAAAAGAAAACTATTTAATTTTAAACTATTGAATTTTATTAATTTTTTATATAAATATAATCACAAAATGATTATCTTAATATACGATATGAAATGATATAAATTTATTAATTTTTTTTTAGATATTAGATACCTGATTAAATTTATAAACTTATAAAAGAAAATAATTAAGGCATATTTACAATAAATATAACAATAAAAATAAAATTTTTATATAAAAATATATAATAATAAAGTACATTCATAGAATGTTAAAATATATTCATAATAATAAAAAATATATATTCATAAATAATAAATTAAAAAATCTATTTTAAACTTTAATTTATTATTTTCAAATATTAATGAATAACAAATTTTATTATTTCAAATATCAATTTTAATTTAATAAAAAAATTTAATAATTTAATAAAATTAATAATCATTGCAAAATTCTTTATTTAACTAATTTTTTTTATTTTTTATACATTTAATATTTTTTTTTATATTTAAACTATTTAGTATTTGTTTTGGTAGTAGTAACTTAACCTTACTTTTCTAGAAATCGTTACGCTCTATATATATATATATATATATATATTGATGGAGATTCGTACACAATAATTAATTACTTCATTTGAATCAATTAAATATACTAATGATAATTATAAGTATTTGAATTTCTTTAACTCTTTGATTATTTTGTGTATATGTTCATTAATGACTATGTCTAATTCATCACAAATTTCTAATGAACCTTATCGTGAATTAGAAGAATTACGTGGTTCAGAATTAAATATTAATTCAGAAAATGTTTCAAGATGTAATAGAAATTTTGGAAATTGTGTTGCTTTGGAGCTTTCTTCTGTTGTAGTTATTCCAGATGGTAAATTAAATTTCTTTAAGAAATGTATATTGTAATATGTGTAAATTATTATAATGTATTTTCACAATATTGCTGGCAATTTTTATGTACAGGATAATCTGCTTAAACTTATCTGTAAAGGAGCGGGTAACTGTAAGTTATGTAAATATTTTATTATGCATGGGAATATAACATCAGATTTTTTAAAAATAGAATGCTTTAGTTAATATTTATTGTAATGATGATTTTTCTTTGCAAGGGTCTTGAAATGATATTTTCATTTTCTACTTGAATATAAATAAAACATTACTAACAATTTATTTTATAAATGCATGTAAAACAAAGTAATAATTTAAAAGAATATTTTCATATATTTTTGTAAAATATTAACAAGCTATAATTATATAATGTTAGAATTTAGTTGATTTGTTATATATTTCACATATTAAATCTATATATATTGTATTACACACAATATATATATATATAAAATATATTGTATGTAAATAACTTATAACACATTATTTTTTTCTTTTTTTAATTTAAGTATGTAAGTAATTAAATATATAATATAATATATAATAATTATTAATATAAATTTATCTATTTTATTAAATATTTTTTCTGATATTACAAATTTATTGACAGATACATTTACTGTTGTTCAAGCTATAAATACATTAGGATTTGGAAAGTTTCAAGTTAAATTATCTTTATTTACGGGTCTCTGTTGGATGGTAGATAGTATGGAAATAACAATATTAAGCATTTTAAGTCCATCACTACATTGTGATTGGGGTATAACCAGATATCAACAAGCTTTAACAACTACGGTAATATTATTTAATAATATTGATATCTAAAGAAGATCTAATAATTTTTATGTTATTATTTTAGGTTGTTTTTCTAGGTATGATGTTAAGTTCTACATTTTGGAGTAGTTTAAGTGACAGATATGGAAGTAAACAATCCTTAACTTTATGTGCAATATTATTAGTCTATTATGCTTTTTTAAGTGCTTTTGCACCAAATTTTCTTTGGATTTTATTGCTTAGAGGATTAGTTGGATTTGCTATTGGTTGTGTACCACAATCGTAAGTAATAAATTCTATAAACAAGTACCAATGTTTATAAATGAATATCATTAATTATTATTATTCCAGTGTTACATTATATGCAGAATTTCTTCCAGCAAAACAGAGAGCAAAATGTGTAATTTTATTAGATGTAAGTATCGTTATATACTTATATTATATATATTATTTGTATAAAATAATTATTTTTTATAGTGTTTTTGGGCACTTGGAGCTTGTTTTGAAGTGGCAATAGCTTTGGCTATAATGCCAACTTTTGGTTGGAGATGGCTTCTCATTTTATCAACAATACCACTTTTTATATTTGCTATTATCACTCCAGTAGGTATTAAAAATCAAACAATATAATAGGTATTAAATGTATAATTTTTATATTTTTTATTTTAATATTCTTTGTAGTGGTTACCAGAATCTACAATATTTGATATAACAAGTGGAAGAATGGATAAGGCCGTTTCAACTTTAGAACGAGTAGCAAGAGAAAATAAAAAACCTTTACCTCCAGGAAGATTAGTTATGGATCGTTTCTATCAAGTTAATCATGGCAAATTAAAAGATGTATTAAGTAAAGAAATGTGTAGAACATCTACTTTGCTTTGGCTTGTATGGTAAATATTGCATAGCATATATATTAACATTATATTAATTATATAATATTAATATGATTTTAGGATGAGTACAGCATTTTGTTATTATGGCGTTGTACTAATGACTACAGAATTATTTCATACATCATCTGAACAATGTAGTTCGTGGGAAAATGAAAAAGAAGATATTTGTCAATTAGATTGTCGTTTAGAACGTAGCGATTATATTGATCTTCTTTGGACAACATTAGCTGAATTTCCAGGAATTTTTTCTACTATTTTTGCAATTGAAAAAATTGGTAGAAGAAAAACAATGGCTTTTCAACTAATAATGTTTGCCATGCTTATTTGTTTTTTAGGCAGAGCATGCCTATTAAGCAGAGTAGCATTAACATTGACAATTTTTTTAGCTAGAGCTTTAATTGCAGGCGTGTTTCAAGCAGCATATGTCTATACCCCAGAAGTATATCCAACTCATTTACGTAGTATTGGTGTTAGTACATGTAGCGCAATGGCTAGAATTGGTGCAATGGTTACACCATACATTGCACAAGTATTTCTTCAATGGTCTATTACTGGAGCAATGGCAATTTATGCTACAACAGCATTATGTGCTGCAATAGCTACACTTGCTTTACCTGTCGAAGCGAAAAATCGTACATCTAATGAATCTTAAGAAACGAGATAAAATTTCGATGAATATTTCAGTTTTTTCTTTTTTTAATATTGAAATGTTTTAAAAGACAAAATATATTGACACTCTATTGTTATATCAATTAATAATTGTTAAATTGACAGTTTCTTTAATGATAAAAGAAAACTTATTCTTATTTATTAATATTCATTTATTTTGTTTTTATAATTTTATAGTTACATATATGTGCATAATTAATATTATTTTTTATGTCCGATTAATTTTATCTTATTTGAATGAATAGAATTATACTATATATATTACATCATAAGTTAATATATATTTATCTTTTTCTAATACTTTAAAAAGCAATAGTAAGTTTAAAATATAATAAGAATTGTACAAAGACTGATATAAAATATTAAATGTTAATATACAATAGAAGTGCCAAAATGCACAAATGTGCAAGATTATTGTATACATAAATTATGATAAATTATGATTTTTATTATGTTTTAAAATAGTATAAATAACAAGATATGTAAAATTGCAATTCAAATTACTTGATTTATATATTTATATTTTTATCTTATAAAAATATTAAAAAATAATAGTTGACATTATTTTTTATTTCATAATTTAAGATTCAAATTTTCATAAGATTAAGATGCAGAACAATAAATTTATAAATTTATTAAACAAGAAATTTATTTATATAATACTTAATTTAAAAAAATAATAAAATTTAATATTTATAGATGTTAGAATAATAATAATAAAATATAAAATTTTATATAAACTTTTTTATGTAATCAATCATTAATACAGTAGACCTCCATATAAAACAATAAACAAACTTCAAATTTTTAGATTTCAATTGAAATTATCATATAATTTCTCTCTCTTCTAATTTTATTTATATTCTACATTTAATATACTAAATCAAAAGCATTTATTTTATATATTAAAAATTTTCATATAATGAAAAATTAACAAAAAATATTTTAATAATTTAATAAAAAGCACAATTGATTTTTATATATGTTGTTTTGAAATATTTAATATAATAAATTACAATCAATTTGTAATTTCTTCTTTCTTTCATAACATTTGCATAATAAAATAAGGAAAGGAAAAATAAATATATATATTATTTTTATCATCATTATTTATCATTAAATATTTTGTCATTATAAATAATAAAAATATTTAAAAAATTATAGAAAAATGTTTCAATGATTTGTTAGTCACAAAAATAAAAAGACTAGTATTGAATTTAAAATATGAATATAATATGAATTGAAAACAATCATTCCATAAATTTAATTAATAATTTTTGCACTGATACATTATTATGGATATATAAGAAAATGAATGTGTTAAGATATATCTCCTGACTTTAAACTAATGTGATTACTTCTAAAATTTTTATGAAAGCAATTTTGAATAATACCCTTTTTTCTTTTAAAAGAGTATTACATTTAAATCTAACAATCACATAAATTTTATTGAAAAATATTGAAGAACAATAGAAAAGGAAACAAAACATATTATCTCTACATTACACAGAGCTCTACTGTAATTTCATATTTCATTAGAACTTGGAATGAATATATATATTACAACTGCTTTTTATCATATTATTTCTATTGTATGAAAAAAAAGTAAGTCGCGTTGAGATACTTATTTTTATCTCTTTCAACATTTATAATCACAATTCATAAAGATTAAATAAGATTTTTCCAAATTGTATAAAGAATAATTTTTTAAGCAGGTTGAATCATAGAAAGTAATTCTTCTTTCAAGTATCCTACAGATTCATTGAGATTTGTTTCTTCTGATTTATTTTTCCAAAAAAACATCAAAAGAGTAGCAGGAAATAACCCCAATTCAAGTAAAGTTTTATCAAAAGTATCTTCACTAAAAGTTGTTTGAGGAAGCTTTTTTAAACTGAATGGTCTTTCGTTATTTATCAAGTTCTCACTAACAAAATTAACAACATTTTGAAAAGTTTCATGTACAAAAAATGTTCCTTGTAAAATAAGATTATCTGGAAATTTGATACGAATCAATGAGAATTTGTATTTTCTAAGTTTTTGTTTTTCATCTCTTTCTCTCATAGCTTTTGTTCTTAACATCTGATCTCTTTCAACTGCTTCGCTTCTATTAATATTGATAAAAAAAGATAATTAATATAATTTATTTGATAAATTATTATATTTAATCTAAAAATCTTATGATGTAAGTATATAATTACCGAAGTTGTTGTTCTTTTTCTATATCTTCAGGACTTAAATTGAAAAAACTTGGTGGTAATTCAGTTCTTGTGCTTGCTTGCATAGGTAACAATACTTGAAGATTTCTATCTAGTTCAAGTGGAATGGGCTGTGCAGTTTTTAGTGCCTCAAATAACGTTGTAACATCTTCAATACTACAATTATCAACACTCCAAATTAAGAAATCCTCTTCTTTATCATTATTTAGTATCTTTTTCTGATGAAAACCAGCTGCATTTAAAAATTCTAATGCGCCTTCAATTGGCATTACTTTATCCTTTAAAAAAATATTGATTTCATTTAAAATTTACAGCTATCTTTAAGTATAAAATAAAAAAAAAGAATAAAAATCTTCAATTCTATATTTATTTAATTATTTTGTTTTTATTTTATTTATTATATATTTCTAGATATATTTTATTTTAATAAATAAAAAAAAATATTAATAAATCATAATTTATATTATAAAAATTAAAATAATTTTAAAATTCATCAAGATTGAAACAAATATTTTAGTAATTTTTTTTTAATAAAATTTTAATTTAAATATAATTATATTTGATTCAATAATTTTATTATAAACAAAAAATTTTTTTGTTAATTTCAATATGTATGTATTCATAAGAAGAAAATGTATTCATTAAACAAGAATAAAAGATTTTTATATAAAATATTTTTTTTATAGATCTAGATAGTAATATAATAAAATAAAAATATTACTTGAAATATTTTATTCTGCATTCTAATTTTCTTATACTTTTCTTCCTCTGGATAATTTATAATATTTTCTAAATATTTTCCAAGTGTTTCAACACAAATGTCAACTTTTTCTTTCTTACTATTACAATTTCGTATAATTAAACATGATGTTAAACCTGCTTCTTCTCCTTTCAATTGTTCATATAAAAATTTTTTTATTTTTATTTTCCATTCATCTTGTGATAATATTTCATCGGATAAATATGGACAACGATAGCATACATTGGTAACAGCTAATGTAAAATTATCTTTAATTGTATTTTCAATTTTTTCTTCTGATTGCACATGATTTTTTTGTTGTGCTTTTTGTTGTGCTTTCCTTTCTTGCTCTAATTCTCGTTTTACTTGTGCCTTAATAGCTGCATATGATCTACAAATAATATATTTTTATAATATTTTTTAGTTATCATTATATTTAAAGTTATAAATAAAAACACTTTTTTTAGAATCAACTTACGTATTAAATCTTTTTGTGTTACATTCTTTTGCTTCTAATCTTGCTAAAGCTGCTTGACCAGCTACTTTAGCTTCTTTCGTAGGTTCTACCCTCTTTATGGGTTCTACTATAGAAGTAGATCCAGAAGTACTAGTTGAATCTGTCAATCTAATAATAATATCGAATTAAATTATTGTTAAATTATGATAAAGATAATAATTATAAACATAAAATTCTATCACATAATTAATAAATATAATTTATTTTATTTTAAAAAATTTTATATTTATTTTGATATCTTTATGACTATGAAAACCAAATTATATATATTTTATATATTTTTTTATAATCTTAAAGTTGTTATATATAACTTTTTATAATAATTTTATATTAATAAATAAACTATAATTTACTTATTTTCTAATGTAAGATTTTGCTATTCAATATTTATATTATTATATAAATATAATATGGTGATTTATATAATTATAATATCTATAATATGGTTATTGAATAAAAAAAAATTTTAAAAATGATATTGATATACAATAACAATTTTTATTAAGTTTTTTTTATCCTAGTTTTCTATTATTTGATAAAATAATAACTTATAAAATAAATTATATTTATAAAATAATAATATAATTTTAAAATAATTATTAAAACAAAGATTACAAGTTTCAGTTATTTTAAACTATAAAAAAGTAAATTTTGTTTGATTTTTTATATTTTTCTATTCTTATAATTAGATTTAATAATGTGATTAAAAATCCAATTATTTTTTTATTAAAAACTACTAATTATTAAAATTACTAAAAAAAAAATAAAAATACTAACAAAATGTATAAAAATAAACAAAAAAATATATTAAAACAACAAATATTTGAAATAAAATCTTTAAAACTTGTATCTTGTATTGCTTGTAAAATTATCTGTAAACTTGTATCCTTTGTATTAATATTAATTAATTATAATATATTACAATAAACTTTACTTGTGTCCTTTTCCAGCATTCATAAATTTTACATCTATTTTTGCCTTTTGAAAAAGTGATTTAATTTTTTCTGTCATAATTGTTATTTTTTAATGTTACAAGAGATTAGATGTTATAGAGAGCAAATTAATTTTATAATAATTTACTTTCTTAGTTATTTTCACTAATAACTTTGTTATTTTTAACTTAACCTAAAATGAATAAAAATTCTTTATATTTGTATAATAATATATATAAATACGTTTATAAATAATTTGATTTTACTTACAATTATAAGTTGAATAAATAATTTATATTAAGCAACAAATTATTCTCCAGATGAAGAGTCAAGATCTTCTGATGCAGAGTCTATGACAAAAATTATATCATTAATATTAAAACATTTCAAATTTTAGATACGAAAATGTGACAATTTTGATACTATAAATTCATAGAAAATTATTTTTTAATTACTTAATATTATTTATTAATAGCATGAAATGAACATTATGAAATATTTCTTTATTTTTTTATCTTTGAAGTTGATTTTTAACAAAAATAAATTAATTTTTACTTGGAAAGAATTGAAAACAAAATAAGATCATTGACATTAGTAATAAAAATTTATAAAAACGAAATGCTTTTATTATTACGAGAAACAGCTCACGCTACATCATGACGTGATGGATGAAGACTAAATTTTCCTCGAAGATTAAGTTTTCCTTAGAAAAATTCAAATTTTGATGACAATCTTTTTGATTAAATTAAATAATATTTCATTAGAAATTGGCAAAAAATTTAAATAAAAATTTAAATAAAAACGAACATTTATTCATAATAACATACAAAGTTAATGTCTATCTATATATATTTATATTTAATAAGATTATGTAATATCATTTTTTGTGAAATTATATTTCAAAACAAATTAGATACTTATATTTTTTTTTATATTTTTTTAAATTATCTATCTAAGAATTGTTTTTTGCGTAGCATAAAATATATATCCTTCTAATTTTTTTTTTCACAAACTTATATGAAATATAAATATAAATATTCTATAAATTATTTAATTTTGATGAATAATCGTATTAAAAATAGATTTATAAATAGATATATTCATTTTAATAATATTAATATTAGAAACAAATATTCGAAAAAAAAGAGAGAATTACTATTGCAAGTTTATATATAAAAATAATTCGTACAAGTTTTATATTGTGAATGTATATACATATAAAAATAAAAATATGAATTTTCTTACTTGTTTCCATAAATTGTTCGGAAATTCTTGGACCATAAATATGCCAAACGATGAAAATTAAAGCCACAGTACTAATAAATGTAAACAAGAAGACTTTCAATAATTGCAATTGAAAATCATCAAATGCTACCAAACTAATAAAGTCGTTAAAAAAATCAGATAATTTTTGCTGTAATTCATCGTCAATGACACTATTAATTGGATGAAATGATAAGTCAAATGTTGTTGAGCTCACTAAGTCATGAGCAAGTTTATTGATTGTTTCCACCAAATACTCTATCCACGACCACGAATTTTCATGTATACTACTCATCACATGTGAAAAAATTTTTAATTAAATTAAATAAACACACACGTTCATTTCACGTTCAATTTCATATTACCACGTCATACATTGATATATATTTTCAAATGTCTAAATCATTCTGATTTACAAGGTCGTATCCCAGAATACGATGAAACTTGACCATTAAGAAAACTTTTAAATAAGCATAAAAACTAATGTTCGATTTACTATCTTGAAATAGAAGTTTTATATAATTCATGACTTTAATAATATTTTTTGTAAGGATAAAATTTTAAAAATTGTTTATCTATAGTTCTATCCCAAATCTATGTTACATAATTAGATTATTAAAAAAGTTATATTGAATTAAAAATAAATAAATTATAAATTTTAATTTATTAAATACTAGAATTATTAATAGAAAATAATCGATAATTAAAAAGTAGTAAAGTATAAAAATAAAAAAGTATAAAAATAATTTAAAATCATATAATGTACTTATATTATAAAATTATTTAAATAGTTAATAAAGTTATAACTTATAAATTAAAAATAATTATATATTTTTTAAAAGTTTTAATTAAGTTTTAAAAGTAAAGTAAAAGTAAGTAAAAAAAATAAAATTAAAATATCAAAAATAATAATTAAAATTTTTATATTCTCTAAATAATCTTTATATAGTTTGTTATATATTTATATTTATATTTTTTAATAATTTATATTTTTATAAACTTCTCTTTTTACCTTTACTTTTAATAATACTTTTTAATAATATGTGAATCTTAAATATCGCGCCATTAAATATTTTAAATTTTATTACTATATATTTCTCTAACGATATGAATATGAGCAGAATTGTTAGATATCGGGACAAAATGGTTGCCAGTATGATATTAAAAAACCGATAGAGAAATAATACTGTCAAAAATAATATTCCTTAAAGAAAAATAGCTTTATTTTAATTTTAAATGTCGTATATAATAAGAAAATAGTAAATATATCAATTTAAATATAATTATAATAATATATTTCATCTTATATCTTATTTTCGATTAAAAATGGGTGGAGGAGATTTGGTAAGATAATCATAGTTTTAAATTATATTTAAAAATATAACATAAAAATATTATTATTATATAAATAAAAATATAATAATTCTATGCTTTTGTTTAATAAAACTTATAACAGAATTTAAAAAAATCATGGCATCCATCTACTATGAAAAACATAGAAAAAGTTTGGAAAGCAGAACAACAACAATGTCAAGAAAAGAAAAAAATAGCTGAATTAAAAAAAGAAATAGAAATAGAAAAAGATCGAGAAGATATAAAAAAATATGCAATGGAACAAGGTGTGATTGAAAAAAAAGATGACAAAAAATTGGATTGGATGTATAAAGGACCAAATCATTTAATTAATAGAGAAGAATATTTACTTGGACGACCAATTGATAAATCTTTTGAACAAATGGTTCAAGTAGAAAAGGGTACTGAAATAAATCAAGTACCAAGAAATCATGTTGAACATGGTATTAATTTTTATATTTATATATAATATTATAAATCATTAGTAATTAATGATCAATATATATAATTAATTTTATATAATTTTAGAATGTATTCCACCATCATTACGTTTTTTTTCTGGTAATGAACAAGTGGATTTAGTAAGAAAAATGCAAGAAGATCCTTTATATGCTATTAAAAAAAAAGAGATGGAAACAAGAAATCAATTATTAAAAAATCCTGTTAAATTAAAACAATTAAGACAATTGGTATGTAAATAATATTGATTTAATACAGTAATATTATTAGTAGTAATATTAATAATATTTATTTATTATTATTATTCAATTAATTATTCATTATTAATTTTAAGTTGGAACAGCAAACAAAAAAAGATAAAAGTGAAAAGAAAAAAAAGAAAAAAAGAAATAGACAAGATATAGATAGTGATGATGAAGCACAATTAGATCTATTATTGGCTATTAAATATAAACAATTAAAAGAAAAAATTAATAATAAAGATTTAATAAAATCAATGAAAAAGGTAAAACATAAACAAAAAAGAAATTTAAAAGAAGAGAATGATAATTCAAGTAGCAAATCAGAAAGTAGTGAAAAAAGTGAAAATAATAAACATATAAAAAAATATAAAAAAAAAAGAAATAAAAGTAAAGAGATAAATATTCAAATTACAAAATATAATAAGGAAAAACAATCTATATATGATAAAAAAGAAAAAGAATATAAATTACATGAAAAATATATTAGGACTCGTAGTTTAAGCAGAGAAAGTGATAATAGTTCAATTCAAGAAAGAAAAGATAAATTATATAAAAAAGACATAACTAAACATACAGACAAAAAAATTCGTTTAAAAAGTCCTCAAAATAGAAAAAATAATTTTTTTAAGAATAAGTATAATAATAAAAGTAATATTGAAGATAAAGATAAAAATATTTCAAAGAAATTACATCAAAAAGAAACATATTTTAAATTATCTTCTGATGGAACTAAAAAATATTACAAAGAAGACAGAAATAGAGATAAATGGAATTTTAAGAAGAAACAAAATCTTACAGAAGAAGAAAAAGAACAACGTAGGCAAGAAATGATAGCAAATGCAACATGGAGAGATAAAGAAAGAGAACAAAATGTTAAAAAATATCGCGAAGAAGAAAAAAAAGAAATAGATAATAGAAAAGTATATAATCAAGATTTTCTTAGAAAACAATTAGCAGTTGCTGCAGATATAGGTACAGTTGCCTCTAGAATTAAAGCTAATATAAATAATATACAGCGATCTGGAGGAGCTATGGATATAAATTTCGCTAGAAGGTGATTTTAAATGATCTAAATTTATACAATTATGTAAATTTCATCGAATTATTTCTAGTAAATATAGAATTATAAATGTAAGAGATATAAAAGTAATAAGAATTATAAATGTAATCTATAAAAATATATATATCTTTTAATATATATTTGTGTATTTTATAACTTTTATAATATTATGATAGTATCTGATATATAAATTTTTATTGAAGAAATATATATACTAAGAAAATACTACATTTTTATATATTAATATAATTTTTAATATATTTACATAATAATTTATTATGATAAAAGACATTTTTTTTATGTGATTTTGCAAGTTTCTCTATTTTCAATTGCATCATTGATATCATTAATAGTTGCAAAACATCCTCCAGTAAGCATGTTATTAACTACAGCTCTAGCAAGATATCCTGTAGTTATTGAATAATTAGCAGAAAAAAATAATGATTGATCAGCATTTTTTTCTAAATTATGATCCTACAAACAAAAAAAATTGAATACAATTATTAATAATATTGAATATTGAATTATGTATAAAATTGTATATTAAATTGTATGTATAAAATTATATATTATATATACCTTACAATACATGAAGAAACTATCTTCAACGAGTTTATTTAGATTCAATTGTTTCTGAAAACTTAATTCTGGATTTCGAAGTAAAATTGTTGACACTATAGTGAGTAACTATAAAAAAACATTATAAATTTATACATATTATATGTAAAATAAATATAAAATATATAATATGTATAAGTATATAATATTTTTTTATATTATATATTTTTCCACGAATATAAAAATTGAAGATTAAATAAAATCATAATTAATTTGTTTTAATAAAAACATAATATAAGCTTCCAAAAATTTTTATAATTTTAGCATTCTTAGATTAAAAAAATTTATAAAATAAGTAAATAAAAAAAAATTACCTCTACAATAATTTGTCGATATTCTGGCAATTGTATATTAT